GGAAAGAAACCTGGTGGTGGAGTGAGGAAGTTCAAAACGCTATTAGGACCAAGAGAGATTTATATAGAGATTTACCAAAGCGTAAGGATGTTGAAACTTTTAATAAGTACAAAGAAGCAAAGAAATAAGCTAAGCGAGCAGTTGGTAAGGCTCGTTTTACTTATTTAGATGAGGTATATAGGAAACTTGAGACTAGAGAAGGCGAGAAGGATATATAAACTAGCTAGGATAAGAGAAAAGAAGTGTTGGGATCTAAATCAAGTGAGGTGTGTTAAGGATGATACAGATCAGGTTCTGATAAAAGATAAAGACATTAGAGAAAGGTGGAGGAGTTACTTTGAGAAGCTTTATAATGATGATCATGCGATAGAGTTTGACGATCTTAGGTTACAAGGAGAACCTAATGTGATGTATACAAGAGGAATCAGAGTCTCAGAAGTTAAAAATGCATTACGAAAAATGAAAAAGGGGAAGGCATGTGGGCCAGATGATATTCCAGTAGAGGTTTGGATGGCGTTGGGAGATGTTGAAATTGTGTGGCTTACTAAGCTTTCTTATCCCCATCTTCAAGAATGAAGGAGACGTGCTGAATTGTAACAATTATAGGAGCATAAAGTTAATAAGCCACGCTATGAAACTTTGGGAGAGAGTTATTGAATGGAGAGTAAAGGCCACAACTACCATCTAAGGTAATCAATTTGGCTTCATGCCAGGCAGATCAACCACGGAAGCCATTTTTCTTCTTAAATTTAGAAAAGGCAGATAGAAGTCAAGACAGATTTACATATGGTCTTTATAGATTTAGAAAAAGCATATGATAGGGTATGGAGAGAAGTTTTATGGTGGGTGTTAGAAAAGAGAGGAGTGCATGTGAGGTATATCAAGGTAATTAAGTACATGTACGATGGGATGGTCACGAGTGTGAGAACTGCTGGAGGCTACATGACAGAGTTTCCCATTTGGATTGGCCTTCATCAAGGATATGCTTTTAGTCCTTATCTTTTCACCATTGTGATGGATTAGCTGATAAGAGAAATCCAAGATAAAGTTCCTTGGTGTTTGCGTTTTGGGGACGATATAGTTTTAGTTGATGAATATAAGGAAGAAGCTAACCGTAAGTTAAAACTGTGGAGACAGACTCTCGAGACGAAGGGATTTAAGTCAAGTAGGACGAAAACTGAATACATGCATTGTAGGTTTAGTAACTCAAGTAATTAGAGTGATGAAATTTCTTTAGACGGTGTGGAGATTGGGGAATCAGAGTGATGAAATTTCTTTAGATGGTGTGGAGATTGGGGCTTCTAGGAAGTTTAGGGACCTTAGGTTTTTAGTGCAATACGAAGGATATATAGAAGAGGATATTCAACATAGGATTAAGACATGATGTGTTAAGTGCAAGAATGTTACGGGAGTTTTATGTGATGTCAAGATGCCTACTAAGTTGAAACGAAAGTTCTATAAAACTGCAATCCGTCCAGCTATGTGGTAGTGAATGTTGGGTCATTAAGAGAACATATATGTAAGTTGAGTGACAGAAATGCGTATGTTAAGATGGATGAGTGGCCATATGAGAATTTATCGCATAAGGAATGAAGTTATTCGTAGTAAAGTAGGTGTAGCACCAATAGAAGATAAGGTGCGCGAAGGTCGCTTGAGGTGATATGGGCATGTCTAACGTAAACTGCTAGAAGCACCAGCTCGTGCTTGAAAGGACACTCTTATACCTAATACTAAGAGAGAGGGATATACCATGAATCACGTGGACCGAAGTAGTTAGGAAAGACATTCTAGATTTAGGCCTTCAGAAAAGTCTAATTTCTAACAGAGTTGTGTGAAAAAGTGAAATACATATAGCCGACCGTAATTAAATTGAGATTAAGATTTGTTATCGTCGTCGTCATTGTTGTATGTAGAGCATGTTACATATGGCACTAGATAAATGTACTACGTATGGTATATAGAGCATGGAAAAAGAACTTATGGTGTGTATAATTTTCAGGTGGGACTTGCAATGGTGGTCGTGGAAAGTGCTGTTACATCCATATACATATGTTACGCAGAGGATCCTTTGTTAATTCATCGGTGGGATGCAGAGTTTTTCAATCAGATGTCAGAGACGCTGCACCAGCGCCTTCAATATAGGAGTGCAAGAGCAAGGGAAGTTTTAACCCACAGTCGTTTTGATCCCCACATGCACGAAACACTTCCAATTTGAATCCTTACGTGATTTGTAGAATGTACAATGTAATTCATTGTGCTTTACTCTATGATTCTATTCCTCCATCACATACAAATATATATTTTTTTGGGCTATCGTTCTTGGTTTCTGATTGAAGCACTCCGCTCCTACTGTGTTAGGTTGCATTTTTCTTAGATGTTTAATATCAAGTAGCGAAGGAGGAAAAGTGGTCGCCATTAAATTCTTTTTGAGTTGGTTGTAATGAGATCCTAGATTCGCATGTCGTTTTTACTTGCCTGGAGTTTATGATATTCGCCATCTTTCTTCTTTATCTTTTTACCTTTACTTTTCCATGCTTCACATGCAGTTCACTTTTGCTTGGTCCCAAAACCAAACACATTCATCTTAAAATTCTATGTGAGATTTATATCTGGTGACATTCATCTTATACTTTTTAGCCTATTTTCTGGAAGTAAAGATCAACTCTTTTTTTTTTTTTTTTTTTGCCTAAAAAAACAAAGATCAACTCCCCTTTTTTTTTTTTTTTTGGCTAAAAAGACATGATACGAATTCCGTCAAGAATAACGAGATCTGAACACAATTAGAGACCCAAAATCGCTCTACGATCAAATTTGAATGGGACCTCAACCGTTGTTTATAACGAAACAAGAATCTTGATATAATGAAGATGACACAAACGGCGATGAAAATCCGTTTGATAAGTCGTTGCTCAACGCCCCAAGAATAATTCTTGATAAGTTTGAATAGTTCTTCAAAGAACTAAAGAGAAAAACAATTCTCAAATTTCTAAATAATGATATGTTTATTTCATTCCCTAAAAACGCCTATTAATAGGTTGAAGTATTACAAAAAAAGTTCCTAAAATAGCTTTATTACATGCCATCTTTATTAAGACTAAAATCTGATAATAATAGCTCTTACTTAAAAAATAGAAAAGGAAACACTCTGAAAATTAATGGTTGTACACGTCAAAAATAGAAGAGGAAAGTTGACTAATGAGCTAATAAAATAAAAGATGAATGATGGCTGAATATTCAGAATAAGGAAACTAAATAGAATAAAAGAAATTAATGTCTCATTTATTTTACCGATTCGAGTTTTATTACAGTAAATTTTTTTTAGAAATAGTCACATTTAATTTTTTTACTACAGTAAAAAAATTCTCATATAAAGTCATATCTCAACTCGAATTAAAAATTTGAATTAACGATCTAAGCACGTCCTAAATATTTTGAGTTTCTCTTTCTTGATTCACATTTGCATGGCTGGTCTTGTTGATCTGGATTGACCTTGATGATGTGGACCATAGTGAGCACGCCCAACTCCTCTTGCTGAACTTTTGGATTAAATTGTTGAGTTCTTCCTTAAAGTGTTTAGCTCGAACTCTTATTACCGATCCTATAAGAACTTTGATTGGATCTTCAACTTCAAGCGTCTTAGTAGCCGTCTTAGCAGCCGTGCCCTCATCAAGACAAAGTCGACTTGGATTGTGAGTTTCTTCTGCATTTGATTTCACGATTCTAATTCGATTAGATCCTTTTTTTTTTTCCTTTTTTTTTTCATCATTTCTCACTGTTCTTTTACAGGGAAAAGGGGAAAAGAAAAGGGATTTTCTAGCGTTTGAGGTATGGATTCAAACCAAGAAAAAACGTCCCAGAAAGTTCGTCATGTGTTGGGACAGCTGGGACTAGTCTAGGCTCTAATAGAGGCCTGAAGGAAAAATCATCAGAAGAATATTCGGTGATGATCTCTCTAGCTTCTGCCTCATATAACAGTCAAATTTTTGTCCGACTCATGTTTCCCATTTGTAGCAACTGATTTTCTTCACTTTTTATCTTTATCGACCGGATAAAAAATCTCTATCAGTCATCAGTGAATCAAATTGAACCGCGTGCATGAAAAGATTGGTGAAATCCTTCACTTCACAGTTCACACCAGCTGATGGGAATCCATGAATTGGAATCCCAAATGCTTCGGGGACCACTAAAAATAAGTTGAAGCTAATGATATACAAAAAAAAAAAGATTTTTAGTACGTTATTATATTAGTAAGCTCTCGTTCATTTTATCAATTTAAATTTTATTATAGTAAATTTTTTTTTTAAAATAGTCATATTTATTTTTTTTATTACAGTAAAAAATTCTCACATAAAGTCACATTTCAACTCGAATTAAAAACTTAAATTAACGAATTAAATAGGTCTTAAGTCATATTTTTTTAATCGTTAAATTTGTATATTTTTACATGATTTTATGTAGATCTAACAGTTAAAAAATCTAACTTATCGATGATTTATTGACATATAAGAGAATCTCTCAAAAAAAAAAAAAAAAATTTATCGCATGTTATGTAATTTTCTTATAAATCAGGGTCCTTAAATATGCTGTACCAGAGAGTCCATTGTCATTATCATTAGTTCAGAGAGAATACAATTCTAAAAGAGCCCCATTTTGGTGTTCCACTTTCTTGTTTTCTGTTGGTTCAAATAAGTACTTTCTCTTAAGCTGATAAAGCTTAAAAAAGCCGTGACTTTTAGTTTTACATAGGACAAGCAACTTACAGAAATATTGCAGGGAAAGATGGCGAAGTAAGTGTGATGGAGAAGGAAAGGGCCTTTGTCACGTGCCCTCAAGGGCAAACCTCACATGACTTCCACTGGAGTTAAAAAATGGTAGCACATCCAAAAACTATGCCATATGTATGAGCATACGAGTAAATTGCACCATTGTACTTTTAAATATTTATTTTCTACATAATGCACCCCAAACTCTTAATTTTAGTAAATTACACATTGAACTTTAAAATTAATTACAATTAAAGTCTAATAGATAAAGAATGTTAACGAATTGACGGTTTAAAACACGCAATTCGCACATGAAAAATAAATATTGACACTTTTTAAACTATGTCACGCACTTTGAACTGTAAATTTAATAATGTCACTAGTTATTAGACATTAATTGCAACTGACTTTAAAATTTAGGGTGCAATTTATCAAAATTAAAAATTTAGGATTCATTATGCTAAAACTGAATAGTTTGAGTTGTATAATTGTAATTTACTCTCATCAGAGCAAAGACCAGCCAAATAGAAAAAGAAGAGGAGGAAGAAGAAAGAAAGGCAGAAAGTTTAAGTTAATAAGAAAAAATAGAGATTTATATTATTCTAAATTATTACTCTTTACTCTTAATAAATATCTTTTTATTAATTTAATTATTTAACTATAAAAATTATAAAATAAAAATAAAAAATATAAATTTTAATCCATACACTTTTAAAAAAACATTTATCAAGATTATCTTAATAATAAGTGAGACTTGAACAAATAGGTAGGCCCAAATTTTTTATTTATTTTTAAGATGAAAAAATAACAAATTACAAACAAGAGAGGCTCAGAGAAAAAGTGTACGATTTGCCGTATGAGATGCGTCAAATTCTTTTGGCTTTTGGCATAATAAATGGTATTTTATTTTATTTTATTCATTTTTTGTTGTTGTCAATTATTATTCACTCTTATGTTATGTGTGTAATGCATGTCTGGCTCTGATTCTGGCACAATGCAGGAGAGTCTGGGGCTAAAAAACTCTCCTTGACATTTTACCCAAGAGGTTCCTTTCAAGCAAAGCCTTGTTTTTAAAGTCTCATAAATGAGAGATAAAGCCAAAATCAGAAAGCATAACAATAATACTTTTTCCATTATTATTATTTTTTAAAAAATTTATATTGTTTTTGTGTCGTATTTTACTACATTCATCTCATCGCCATCCCATCATTTTTCGCGCGCTTGTCACTGTTCCCCATGCAGGGCCTCTCTGTGTCATATTTGCTGTTTAGTGTATTTTGTTGGTGTAAAACAATGGGGCTATCGTACATGGTTCTAGAGAGAGAGAGAGAGAGAGAGAGAGAGCAAAAAAGGGCATCTAATTCTATGCCCTAATAAGCCTGAGCTCAAGTTACCTACAGTAGGAAAAGAGCCATATGTAGAGAGAGAGAAGAATCAGCTAAGTAGGGGTCGTTTTTTGTCTTGGGTAGTGGGACTTTTTCCCCACTCTCCCCTTCAAAGCGTGAGATATTAGTTTTAACATATTCTAAAGAATTTTACAGGAGAAACTTTATGGTGCATCTTCCATTCGTGACCCATTGACAGAGCAGAGCAAGTTTAATTTAATTTTTAAATTAAATTTTTAATAAGTCTATATTAAAAATTTATAACGTGCTATATAAAATTATTCATGTTGAACATCTATTCATTATTGTCAAAATTAGTTTAACACTAAAAATAATTGCTCTATCAATGAGGCACAATTTTAAAATGCTTTGTAAAAGAAGTCATTTTATAGTGAAATATATTAAAAAAAATACCCATATTATAGGATATAATAATAGCATCGGATTAAAAAATGCATGTCAATTTCTAATCACAACTTAAACAGTTGTACTATTAGTATTTTGTCTCACAATAATTCAACTTTAACTCTTACTATAATATTTTCTCACACATTAAGTTCTCTACTGGAGTGGTAAAAATAACATATTTTTCATGCCCTTTGCTATCACATAATTCTCCTCATATTTTATTCGGTCTCCCTTCTTTCATTTCTTTGTTATTCCCTTTATTATGCCTAACTTTAAATACATTAGAAAATGTTTGTGGCTGCCAAGCAAGTGCTAAAGCTTAATTTGTATTTGTAATGGTCGCTTGCACTAAAGAGGACTCCAGTAGGTTTATCTTTTTCTTTGTGGTTCTAAAACAATTTGCGAAGTGGAAACTACATGTATCGTGCATGCCATTAATTCGATGTCAACCCATTGTGGTATTAATTTCAAGTATTTTTTTTTAGGAAGAAAAAGCTTCTCACTTTCCTCAAAACCCTTTTAATTTACTTTTCATCATAATGTTATTTTATGCAATATATGTACGGATACTATATAAGCATGTTTGGTTTTATAACCATAATATAATCGTGTTATTCATCGACGTGTGCTATGTGACCCATAAAATACATAAGCCAAGTCATACTCGATAACGTTGGTAGAACAATACTATTTTTTTTTTTTTATCACCAATGATAATCTTTTTTCCATGTAGCAATACTATTATTAGACCAAAGGTTCATGTGCATTGAAATAAAAGGAATTCTCAAAAAGAAAAAAAATATTGGTCTAAGGTTGAATATTCTCATGTTTTGATGATAACAAACACAATGTATTATATTACTAATGATTCTATTTTGAGTTGTATATTTAACATAATTGATATTATAAATCAACTCAAGAAGCATATTATGGAATAAAATGCA